CGCACGGGGGGGGGGGGGGGGGGGGGGGAAACCCCAACCCAAAATCAAAACAAAACACCTCTACCTTGTTATGTGATTTAATTTTAATGAACCTTAAACCCAAACCCCCTCTTTGATCAAGCCGATAAAGCTAGGTGGTTTGCTTTTTTGTTCATGCCCCCAAGGGTGCAAAACCACTTTAAAAATTAAAAAAAAGGACAATTTTCTCTAAGTGGTTATTAACTTTCCCAAAACCAAAATGGAGACCAATGTATATATGAGTTAAAACCTTTTTGTTTTTTCAATGTATCATTAGCTGTCTGTTTTAACACTTACTGCTTATTTCCTGGTCTTAACTTTATTTGCTGGTTTGTGAACAACCTGCTATCTAGCACTCACACTACAGACATTACCACCTGTATTCCAAATACACACTGCCTTTCTAGACAGACATTCTAATCTTTATCTGTAGGAAACTGCAGGGCAACTTAAGTGGGTTTAATTCAAGTACAGACCTTGAGAAATCCCTTTTCATACAGTATGAAGAGTCTACTTATCCTTAAAAGGATTTTAGCTCATAGAGGAAAGAAGTGTCCCAAAGAGTGTATTTGTACAAAGAAATAACAGATCTTTATAGATCACAGGCAAGCACAGTTGGAAAGTTTCCAGAATGGCAGATAAGTTTAGCTTTTCGTAAGACCATTGATATCGGAAACTGATGATGCTTCTGACCCTCAAGAGACTACGTACAGAGTATTTTTAAAAGTATATGTCTTCAAAATACTATCTGAAGACCCTGAAGTCACAGCACTGGAACTCTCAGGCAGTGCAAGCGTAAAAATCTGCATTATATTAACTAAGAGGCAGGAAGTGGGGAATTGAGTGGAAAAAGCAGTGTTGAAGGGAAAGAAGAAATAGCTATTTACACATAAGCATTCATGACTGCTCTTTATGTCATACCTTACCTTATCAAAGGGAGGGTAATTAATAGGCTGTTTTGAGTATTCTTGAAATCTAATGTGCAAAGCTGTTGCATTTTCAGTGTAAGGGTTAGTCTGGACAGTTCCCATTGGATTCAACATTTCTTCAAGTTCATCTGAAACATTAGACAGAACAATTAATACTATAGGCCAGGCATGCATTGAAATTAAAAAATCTGAAAGGCAAAGATGAAATTGCTTACTGTCTACAATGGACAGAAGCGTGTTTTGCAGCATATTACTTTTACTACAATGCACTGCATTTCCAGTTTAACTACCCACACCTCCTACATTCACAAATGTTGGGTTATCACCCAATGAGAAACTGATTTTCTCTTTCCAAAATAAATGTAACAGACAAGGGAAGCTGAGATATCCCTATACTGAACCAAATCCCAAGTAAGATCTGCAGCTTCTGTAAACCAGTATACACACTGCCTCTATATCAAACAGTATGAAAAAGAAGAGAGTTTTAAGCCAGATTTCTTTCAGCACTACAGCCAAGCTGATACAGGGTTTCTCAGGATGGAACGAAGAGTGACATGGAGATTTCAGACACACTTACTAATCAATCTGAATGTCAGGGAAGGAAGACTTAAAAAAAACATTCTAATTCACATTTTTTGCGGACACAATTATCATCACATACAATATAGCTTATCTATTTAGTTTAGGATGCACAGCACAGGGAATCAAATGAAACCTAAACTGCATCTTAAAACCAAGTAACACTAGACATAAGCATGCATCTATTTTTATGTGATTTTCTTTCCATAGCAGATAAAACTTTTCGAATACTATTTCCAAGCAGACTCTTGCCCTTCCTCCTTCCTGATACACACCACTTTCAGGAAAGAGATTAAGACATTATATATTTATCCACATAAAAAATACAAGTAGTAAAGAGATTATGACAGGAGAATTAGACGTGTATACAGCAAATATTCTACTATTTGATACTACTACTCTTTAGTCTTGTAAGTATTTAAAGTCCAAATGTTAAAAGTTAAGTTAAGCTTTACCAGGAAATGATGACCAGCTGTGCAGTACCAGTTCTCCATTCTTCAACTGTCCTTTATAATCAAATACCATGGTATTTACCCAGGCTACAGGATAATGCTGTTAAAGGAAAGAATTTGTACACGGAAACTAAGATGCCAGTGAACATGACTATGTGGCGAGCACTCCAACAGAAGTAAAATTGAGAGGTTTGTTGTTTTTTTTAAATGGTGGTATCTTTCAGAAAAGCAGTTAAACACATAGTTTTCAGAATGTACTCCAGTACCACTGAGGACAATAAGACTTCATTTTAAGGGTGTCACTCTGCCAGTGTAAAATTACACATTTCCCTGAAGGTTAGCCTAGACGCTAATGTTTTCATCTTTTCCCAATCAAAATTCATCTAGAATTCAGAACAAAACTGACCTTTTAAAATACAATTCATTTGCAAACTGGCTTACAACCGCATTTGCAAACAACAGCCACTTGCAAACTGGCTTACAACCGAAATTTTCATGCCTTTTTCAGTGTCTGAGAAGTATGAGAAGTTTTTTTGTACCAAAATGTACAATTCTTAATACATATGCTTTTTTTAATTTTAATTTTTCCTTGTTGCACTCTTGAACACTAAACTGAGGAAAGTGAGGACCACACAAGATTTCTGAATATCCATTTCAATATAATTCAGAGGGGCACTCAAGAAAAACAAATTAATTACCACTTTTCCTGCTTTTCTAATGGTTTGGTATTTGGAAGGATTCATTGCCTTGGTTGACTTTTTAGTTTTCATCTTATCCATCACAGCATAAACAGCAAAGCAAAGCCTCGCCATTCTTGGTAGATCACAGACATTTATTTCAAACTCTAGGACTTCATTCCAAACGTGGTCACTTCTCCCAGATATTTCTGTGCTTACGATAGTTTTACAAAGGAGCTCTGTACCATGGAAAAGACCAGCCCTAACGTGAACCTGCAATAAAGAAATGAGAAATTTTATGCTTGCCACAGAACCTACAGAATTCTGCGTAGAATATTATACAGAACAAATACATGCATTTCATCAATATTTCTATCTTAAAAGCAATACTAATTTTGAGGTCTTAAAATGAACCAAACCATTCTTGAGAACAAATTATTTTTATTTTGCTATTCAAGTTCCTGTTTAAATCAAAATATATTGGTTTAAATAATGTTCGCTACCAATTTTTTCAGTACTGAATTACTTCTATTACCACATATGACAAATAACAACTCATTTGTAGTAACAAATACAATGTATGAATATACGAATACTTCTAACTTAACATACCTAACACAGAAGGAAATTGTAGGAAAAACAACTAAGCAGAATGAAAAAGGTAAGACTAATTTCCTGAATACAAATTCAAATCTCCAGGTAGAACCAATTTGTGCTTCTAATTGAGAAAAATTTGGGGTTTTTTCAGTCTAAGAAAAAAATTATTTTTTACCTAAATTTTAATAAAAATGTACAGAGGGAACACTGCTGATCCTGGCATCAGAAATCACCTGTAATAATAACAATGTACGTAATTCCCAGGAATTCTGTTTTATCTTTAGCACCCAGAAAACAACGAAACCAGCTAGCTTGAATGATAAAAATAAGGAACAGGAAAGGAGAAGGGCAAGATGAGAAAGAAGCTGGAATTACTGACACTGAAATTAAACACATCTCAGGTCAATACTAAGATGTGGCTCATTTCTGCATTTCTGTTTAATAACATATGTACATGAAAAACTGCATGTTTCCAAGTATCCATACTCTTGCACAGTTTCAACAAGAATGACAAGGAGGTCTTTATTTTTGTTGCCTAAAACAACAACTAAGAGAAATAGATCAACTTCTTTCAGTATTTAAACAAAATACCAGCATTTAAACAAAACCCAAAACAAACAGAGTAAAAAAGCCACAAGTGCAACCTTTTGGTCAGCACCAAAAAGAAGTTCTCAATGTTATGGTTAAATCAGTAACAGGTGAACTGATGTTTCAGGTTCCCTATGCTCCTCAAACAACCCTCCCAACATTCCCTTTAAGCTATCAAAGTATTTCTGAGCACCATAAGAGAAAGGCAGAAATGTTTAAAAGTTGGTACAGATTTTGGGTAAAAAAATAATTCACCTTTGAATTCCCAACTGACACAGACAAGATCTGTTCTGGGAGAGAGCCTGTCTTTCCCTCCTTCGAAGAAACAACAGTGTGATCACCATCGAAGCAGTCCGTGTATCTTTTTGGGCTACACCAAGTACTGCTCAGTACTAAGTTCTCCATTTGTAAACTAGCTCAAATAGTCATTGGCAAACTGTAATACACTTTAAATGAAGTCATGCTAGAGAGCAAATCTGCCTACAGCCCAGAATAATCCCCGGAGAAGGCATTAGCAGCAGCAAGTTAACACCCATTCTGACCATTCTGGACTTCTCTGAAACAACTGCTGCCACTGACCAAGAGACTGCTGTCACAGCACCAGCGTTGGCAGAGGAACGAGGTCTTGGAGAACACACTGTTACAGGTGACTCTCCTTGATACAGGTGCCATAGGAACATCCCTTATTAAACTGACTCCTTGACTTACATATGTACAATCTCAATTTCATTTCCAAGCTTAAAATCAATTACTGAAAGAAAAAGTTCCATTTAGAAAACATTCACTTGAGTCCCAGCAATACTCCTAAACCCCGCTACTACCTACTTTTGGTGTGCACAGCTACAACACTGTGAACCACAGTGAGTTAAGAACAGCAACATGAACATCCATGAAACAGATCCCATGAAAATAATGTTACTTCAGGAAATCTAAAGGTATACAGACCACACACGTGTGTGTGTGCATTCCTACATGTAACAATATATGTATACACACACATATACAATCAAAATTCTCATTGATTACACTTACAAGGTTGGTTTTATTTCTCTGTAATTAAAGATTGCAGCCTTATAGTCTTCAAAAAGAAAATACTGTGGCTGACGCCAGAGAACTAAATAAAACCAGTTGGTTCATAACCTTCTTGAAACAATTCCCCAGATGGTCCGCTATTAATTCACTTGGAGATTCGTTGTATCTTCAACTGAATTTTTAAATGAGTTCTTTTGCTGATTTAAAGGTATCTTATGGAAATATGATTACATCTAGTGTATTATCTGTTTGTGCTTTAACACCATCAACAGTAAATATTCTACAATCTGCCTTTTTTTTTTTTCTCATTTGTTGTGGGGTTTTTTTAAGCCAGAGGTTTTAATTCAAATTTGTACAATTTCATATATTATTCTTTGACTTGCTATTATGTGATATTATAATTTAATAAGCCACCACACTTCCCTGACTTTTCTTTTACTTTATTAATATAAAAAGCATAAGCGAACAAGTAAAATTTGATAGTAACAAAGCACTGCATTGTTGGAACACATTGCTATTTTGCTTGCCTTTTGGCTAGTACTAATTCTATGATTTCCAACCCTGTTAATGTAAGGGATTGGATCCTAATCTTATTCTTTTCATTCTGATACTACCCTTTTACTAATGAAACTGTATGTATCGACGGTACAGCCAAAGAGCAAGACAAAAAGAAAAGCAATTTCCAATGTCATATATCTGGAAAATTGGGTGTCAGGCACCTGAATGAAGTCACTTGTGCTCTAGGTCAAAATACTCAATCCAGCTCACATTAGCGGAGTGCTATCCATCTGACATGTTTTGTTCCCACTACAAACACTGCATTTATGAACCCTGTTTTCAGCAGAAATGGATGAATATTGGCTTGACCCAAAGCACAATGAAACGAAAAGAACAGTGGCAGTGAATTAAACAGCCTTAGAATCAGGACTAGGAAACAACCGTGTTCTCAATAGTGACAATTCCGTAACAGTGTAGACGGACAATGCAGAGAAACATGCACAAGCTTGCAAGGTTACTGCATGTGTTCTTGTTCTTGGGTAACTACAGGACTTCAAAAGTTTTTGCGACTAAAAAGCATTCAAAATACTAAATAATATTTACATAGTGTCCACAGGCACCAATATCAAAGAACTGTCAATTCTTCCTGTTTCTCCTCAAGCTTACAATCAATGTATTTTCTTTTTCCTCTAAAAGCATGCTAAAATTAAACAAAACTCACTTTTTGTAAGTACCAAAAAAAACCCCCACCCAAACTTGATAGGTATGTTGTTTCTGGAATCCACTTTCTCTTTTCCCCTTCCCTTTTCTTTTCAAAACTTTAAGAGGCTACAGAATGTAGAATCAAGTAGGTATTACAACAAGCTAAATAATGGTTTAGACAAAGAAAAGGGAAACATTAGTTTTTGCAGACATCCATTTCCACAGTCACAGTAGTAAAATTGTAACTATGGCTCATTTAGGTATGTAGTAAAATGTAGTATTGCCAATATACAAGGAAGTTGTAACAACAGTTTTGAAAGAAAAAAATACACTGAGTATCCTGAATAAAGCATCAGAACAGCAAACTTCAATAGCTAATTAAATTTCTTCCTAATAATCAATTTATTGATTGCTAAACAAAATGAAGGAAAGTAATGTTGTTCTACCTCACAGGCAAGTGTCTTATTAGGTCTTAAAGTAGTTGTGCAATCAATTCCCACGTGTTAACAACTTGTGGTCTGTACAACAGTCAGTAGCACAGTTGTGTACATTTTTACAGGAAGTGATACTACAGCTTTTTTTTCTGTTCAGCATGTTTAGAAACTAAAAGACAGACTGGATAGAAGCATACAGTCCATGCTTAGACACACATAGAATATATTCCGGACTACTAAAATACCTTATGTTCCGTTGAAAAATGTTTAATATTTGATCTACTTCTGCTTGTCACATGTTTATGACAGTTTAGTTTGAATAAGCTTATTTCAGACCAGTATCAGTACTTTACAGATACCATCTTAAAAAAATCAAGTACCATGTGATTATTAGTGTCATACTGTCCACAATTATTGGTAATGCTCTAATCTACTTATCCAATTTCAGACAATAAAGCAATACTTTCGCAATAAAGCAAGATTTTAACCAAGACTAATAAAAATGCTTACACTCTTGCTGAACTGAAATCTGTATGCTTTTGAGTTCACTGAACATTAAAAATCATTAAAATGATGAACAGAACGTCTTCTGATACTAGGTATAGTTACTTACTTTGGCATTTTCTTCTGTATTTAGTTTATTACCCTTTAACAGAATAATCTTGAAAGGGTTGGAAATATCCCATACACTCTGAGAAGAGAAACAAAGATACAAGTTCATTCTTAATCAATGTAACATATTGAGACCTATTTAATAAGCTAAGTATTTTGAGCAAAAATCATAAATACAAACTAAAAAAAGATGTCTTTTTAAAAATATTAATTTGAAATCCTAAAAAATAAATTGGTTATCATAACCACAAGAGCATACAAGATACCCTAAAGAGGGGAAAAAAGTTAGAAAAAACACTTAGCTGAAACAGGGGGGTGGGGGTGAGAAAATACATTGAGTACTACTTGTTTACAACTCAGAATAACTCTTCAAATTTATTGCTCGTTCTGAATATACACAGAGTGTAATAAAGTCTATCCACATTTCTTAGAATGACCGCACAAATTCTAACTGTGCTCTACAGCCGTAAGTTTAGCAATAAAGGAAACACCACATTAAAAAGAAAAGTTAGCTGTACATTATGGCAGAAGTTGCCATCATTTGAAGTGGCAACACCATGCAAGATATCTGGGCTAATACAAGAGATCACAGACCACTAGTACCCAAGCTAGCGGAGCCTACACGTTGTGTTGAAGCTGCAGGTTCTCTGCAATGCCTTCTCCTGTTGCTGGTAACAGATTATTACCCGCTCGTCTGAGTTGTGATTAAAAGTAGAATCAATAGCAATGGAAAGGAGACAGTGGGGGGAGAAGGAGGATGGATGAGGCGAGGGAAAGTAAGAAGTTTCCAAAAAGCCTCAAGCTCTGCTATTGCTGATGTAAACCTCATAAGCAACAGGAGGCTCCAAGCAGACCCAGGTGACCTCCACTGGAAAACAGCAGTAGTAGCAAAATCCCAGGCATTGTGATTTATATTCCACAAGTCACTGATCCTTTTAGGTATTAAGATATTCTCCATATCAACTTACAGTTGTTGTTCTTGTTTTTTTTGGCGGCAGAGGAAGAGGAAGGTTGGATGATTTTCGGTTTATGGCAGCTTCTATGGCAATCATCTCCTGCGCACACATTTTCTTTATGGTGCAACACTCAACTAGAGTCAGCTGAGGAAGAGTCCTGTTCATCACACAGTTGCGTATGTACTATAAAAGCCCATCGAAAACAGTTGTTATCAGCTAACAAACTATTCTACAGCAACTTTCAAAACAAAGAAATGAGTAATATATTACAGAGATACAAAGCAAATGGTGCAAGTGTATTTTACAATTTGAGGGCTGCAGACATGAGGAGGAAGGGTACTACTGTTCAGCATAGCTGACCATCCAATGGCACAAGGAGCAAGGTCAAATTTTGGCCAAGGCACCAGAGAACTGTTATGGTAAGTTCCAAAGAACTTTATGTACCTGAAACTGAATTAATGGGTGATCACCAAAAACATATTCTAGCCTTCCGCTAACTTGCAGCACATAGTCAGCAGGATCAACTTCCTCGTCGTCTTTTCCATGGATAGTCAAACGTTTTCGGATTGCCAGCTCATTCAGCTTGATGGGATTCATGTTAGGCGACACTTGAAAACTAAAAACATCCTAACAAAACACAAACAGGAATACTGAACGTCAAACTAGTCACAGTCAGACGTACAAGGCTTAAATGGCAGCATACACAATATAATCAGTAGAAACACTTAACAGACAGAAACAGCCTATTTTAACGCTTACAGTTAATGGCTACATCGTCAGTGCAATCAGAGCAATAGTCACCCTAAAAGCTGCAAAATGATGAATTCCCAAAGAAGTACTTTTAACAACACAGAACTTTATCTAATTGATTCAGCAGCGATTTAAAGACTTCTAGATCAGAATATCGATCTGGAAGCTTGTGTTTTAGAATGTGAATGAGGGAGACAATAGATCATGAATACATTTCAAGGTATTTAACAGTACTAGATACGTTTTCTTCTTTCTGGCTATCAGTAAGTTATACTCTTTCTAGGTATCACTGCACTCAGAAGAAAAAGAAAGCTTCAGGTATAACAGTTTCTTCTGCTTTATATGTGATTTATGTACAAAACCACCCTCTTATTTGGAAGAGTGCAGAAAAGAGGGGTAGCAGCCAATAACTGTAGCATTATGAATACAACGTGAAAGACTGCATTTTCAAAGAAATTTTTTAATCAAACCTTTAGAGGCTATCTACATATTTCCAAAGTATCTCTAATTTTGATGCATTTTAAAAAGGTAAAAGTAAGAAGCTACTTTCTTTTTTAAATTTAAAAAAAAAGGTTTCAATTAAAGTTCCTAATGTAAAAGGTCTTTTGTGAAATCTTTCATCTCCTTTAATATACCACATTATGCTCTGCACACGTTTATTTGCAAAGGTTGATTCAGCAAGTTCTGGGTTTTTTTATTTTTATTTACAGACACACACACTCCTGAAGATGTAAGCATTCTAAAAGGAGATATGTACAAATGTGAAGTGTTGTCTGGCTTACATTCTATATTAAAAAAAAAAGCACAAGTCAAAAGAAGTTTACTGGTAAGAAACCAAGCTGCCCTAGCTGAAAAATCTAACTCTACAGTCAGGCAAAATTAATTCTCTATTTCCTCAGTTTCTGCATGGTTCCCAACAGCTTCCCCCTTTCAGAAAGCTGCTGAACTGTGAAGGCTTTCTTCTCCTAACATAACTGGTAGTGGGTAGACAGGGAATGACACTGTTTCTTCCCAGGAAGCTGGTGCTCTATGACGGCTGCCTTACTTCCAAATTGTAGGTCTTCACATGTATGACACAGAAATGGGGATCGGTTTCTTCCTTTTGCTCCAGAGACAGTTAGGTAGCTTTTACAGCTCACCCACGCACTCTAGACAAAAAGTAATTTAATATTCCTTTCTCTCAATCTTGCAGTGTTCCTACTGAAAGAACACAACAGTCCCCATATCTTCCTATTTAATTCTCCTGAAATGATTCGGTACTCAGTGCAAGGAGTAAAGTCTGAAACAGAGTTTACCGCTCTAAAAAGCAGCTCAGATTGGAGCTGTTAATCGCTTTGAAGGTCAGAACTGGCAGCAGAAGCATTCAAAACATTTGAAATGTCAGCAGCCTAAGCTATTACAGTGGCAGGCAAATACATTCTGCAGCAACGTGAACTTTTGCACTGCTTTTGTACTGTTATCATATGCATACACATATAATATTTTAATTAAAAGCTGACAAACACACAGATATTCTCACTCCTGGAAATCTACAAGTTTTCTACTAAGCCAAAGAGGACTGGAAAAAGATTTTGTCATAAAAACACCTATGCATCCAATATCAACTAGTGTTACCGGTGACCAAACGTAGTATTCATCTCCGCATTTAATGTTTCCAGATTCAGGTATGATTTTACCTGTTTGGATTTTTTATTTTTTAAGTTAAAAAAGATAGTATCAGAAATAATATAGTTTTGTAAATAAAATCACCTGAGTCATTAGAAAAATCAGTATGTAGCACCTGGGTCAAGATGGACACCAAATATAGCCTGATATATTTACAAACTTGTGAGATTTTAAGGTTTCCAACACTGATCCCTCACTGTTATCCAAAAGAACATAGTGCAAAAATGAATACTGGGAATTCTGGACTTAAGTAGAATCATAGCAACTTCAACATTAAAAAACAATGAAGCTAAATCATTTAAGTGGAAACTAAAGAGGGTTTTAAGTATGCTATGGATTTGTTAGCTGAAACAAAAAGGTAACTCTAAGTCTCAGTGTTTTATTTGTCTATATGCACGTCTAGCATAAGGAATGCTACTTCCTCTTTTTTAGTACGTATTGCTCAACCTTATTAGCAGATCAACCCCACAGATGTTCAACAATGAATTACACACAAAGAGAAGTGTGTTGAATATGGTGCCTCCCAATTCACCAGCATCCCCGGAGCCTAAAATTGAACGCTAGTGAAGCGACACAGTAACAGTTGGCCGAAAAAGTCCTGACAACTTTGAATTATGTTTTATATTTAAACGAACAAGAAATAATATAGAATATACAAGTTGTACATTTTTACTTTAAAAGTAGAACTCTAATTTGACTTTAGAAGCTCAGTTCACAACTGTAGGTTCGCATTCTCGCTTTCGTTCAAGAGTCAAGGATCCTGGTGAAAAAATTTACATTTTAAAACAAACACCATAATGTTATTATTCTATTTCATTTACATCCTTGATCAATCAGATGCTAATTCAGATCAGGATCAAGAACAGTACATGAAATGTGATGAACAACGATTCCTACCTGGCAGTTATCAAAATGAACAGCCACTACAAGATTTCCACTGTAGAGCTTATCTTGGAAGCTCTCTGGGATAACAGCTTCCTGTTCTGGTGGGTAAGTGTGCTTTAACCATTCCATCCAGGAGAGTCCCACAAGCGACTGAATCTTTTCCTCGCTGATTCTCCGCATTTTAGCTCGGAAGTCATTCACTTCAGGATCTTGTAAGGCGTCAAACTCATGGAGACCTGAAAGAATTCAAGCAAGCAAAAGGATACATACCTGTACAAATACTGCCCATCTATTTACCATCCCACTCAAACCTTTACTAGCTTTAAGTTAAGGTTATGTAAGTGGTTTTCTTCAAACATCCCATAAAAAAATAGGTGCTCAAAAGTGAGTTGGGTTCTACTGCCCTGTTCATCAGCGGACTTCCAAAGTTACTTGCACAACTCCCACGCAATCTGGCATGAGAGTTTAGTTTAAACAGCAAGAATCAATGCCTCTCTTGCGTACTATTAAATGGAAAAGCCAACCTCACCCCAAATTAAAGATAGTTTGGAAGGCTTTAAGTCTCTCCTCACAAGAGCAAATGCAAAGAAAGCAGTGTTTGCAAATTATTTGTTTTTAATCCCACAGAAAGATGGCATAATCTTTTTTTATTTTCTTTAAAAGTCAAAGAGGAAAGATAGTGGGACCATAGATACATTTATTCTTGAATTTTCCTTGTGATTAAAATCTTCTCCTCAAGTCAAAATGACAGGACTGAAATTTCAACCAATCCAAGACCAGTGAAGTTCCTTTTACAAAATATGTAAAGAGAGAATACACAGTGGAGAGTCCACACAGCTGTGATTCTTTGGTACTTCAGGAAGTACAGGGCCTGCAAGCGTTTCTTTCTTTTCTCCTGAACTTTGAATGACGTTGTCCAAATTACACAAAGCACTGAACACCTTTTGAGAACAAAACACTAAGTTTAGAAGCTTAGACAGGAATACATTTTTTGCACTGTTGAGGTACAGAAGAGGGGCTGTGTAAGGAAGGATCTTGCACAGCTATAATAAGCAAAAAACTCAATCAAAGAATGTGAATCTCCCAGAATATGTCAGAATATGTCTGAATGGTTAAACTGGCTAACTGTTTCCATTGTCAGTTTTAACAAATAGGCAGACAGTGTACTGCTGAAATCTAAACAAAACCTGCACTCTTTATAAAAGAGCTAACAATGGTTCATTGTTTTAAAACAAGAGGTATGACCTCAGACGACCCTGTCAATCTTGATTGTATAACCAAGCAGAGTAGATTTAATAGCTGAAAATTCTGAAATAACATCAAGAACAAGTTACTGTGAAACCTTTAAAAATAGCTTTTCATTGTTTGCTGAAAATCAGTGCCACAATTGAGAGCAAAAACAAGAATCATATTGTTAACCAACTCAGAAACCACATATAACAAAACCATAATAATTTCTAGTTCCTTCTCTGTATCCAGTTTGCTGTTAGGCTATTTAGAACAACACTTCTAAGGCATTACGCTTTCCTCCAGCAAGAATAATATTACAGATTTTTCCCTCATCTAGCAAGATAAAATTTGCTCTTGACTGATGTTGTAATACAATACACAAAGTAGCTTTCAACAACTTTCAAATGTTTCATGTTGAGTATTTAAATTCTTTTAAACTACATCAGTATTAGTTTGAGAAAGGGAAATTCCATCAGGGAAATACTTTTTAATATTTTAGTTTAAATTTTTCCACTGTTACCTGCCCAGTTGAGATCCTCACACAAAACAAAGTTTACCCTCATTTTTCAAAAAAACTAAATGTAATTACCTTTGCCTATAAGGACACCTATTTTGGAATCCAACTTTTCTCCTGGATCACAATTCCTTGTCACTAGTTTAAGGACAGGAAGAAAGGGTCTAACATCACAAAGTCTCCGTGTTTCATCCTCTAATTCTTCATGCACAGCAGTCTGATTCACGCATGAGAACATGTAAGAGTCAATCTCCATGAGGAGATGAAAGAGTGGATAAGCATGTGCCTGCTTCCATAACAGCTGCAAAGAAAACAAATAAAGAGATAAAGCAAAACAAGAAAGCAGGGACATATCTTATGGCACTGAAGGTAACATCAATTTCCATTTATGTTCCCAAAAGAACATAAGAGTAATATGTTTGCTAACTTGGTTCATTTTTTCCCTATGTATCATACATTTACTTTGTCATCTTTGTAGTCTCTATTTTGAGATTATTTTTAAGAAGCAACTTGTGTGCATAAATATCCCAGGGGTAAAAAACACATAGGGACAAGTACTATGAGGAGATGAGAGAAGAGCAGCACTAACCCTTATCCTGATGCTTATCCTGGGACTGACCCACTATGGTCCTATTTGCAGTAAAGCTGCAGGGCCACGGCTGTCACTACAGTAACAAAGCACTTGATGTTCTCGGCTCCGACCAGCAAACCGTCACTCTCCTCCATCCATTCCTATGGCTTCCTACCAAAATCCTTCTCCCTCAAGACACATCTATACTTTCTTTTTCCAGTAATTATTGAAATATGTAGGCAACAAGTCCCCGCTATGGAACAATTCCTGAATAATAATAAAAAATCCCTGTAGTCTGGAGAACCTTAAAGTAAATTTATTTGAAAATTACTGGCAGGTCTCTAAGACATGTAAGTCACCCACAGAATGCTAAATAATGCTTTACTGAGCTGAATACTTAAGTAACAGATTACACCTTAACTAACACCAATGTATCAAATACATAAAATATATCAAATCCTTAGCAGAAATCAAAATTGGAAGTAAAAAGATCTCTCCTGACCTAAATAGTATTCAAATCTTTATTTGTGAGATTATTTTTATCCTAATTTTTAAAGTTTACATTTTATGGATTTGTTTCTGAAACTTACTTTGAAACAGGAACTGCAGGATCAATAATGCAATGGCAAAAACCTCTCCTCAAACAACTGAAGCTGAACTGAACTCCTTTTTGCTGAACTGAACATACCCGCATGTATTTCATAGATTCGTACAAGGAATTCTGTCTTCCAGAAACTTATTTCAGTACATTTTGCCTAGCTGAGTGAAAGCTGAATCCAGCAACTACCTCTGGTGTAGCGCAAAAATTCCAACTTCAAGGGTACCAAAAGACTAATCTATTATTGCCTCTGTGTTATTATCCAACAGCTATTATATTGATTAAAAGTCTGTACCTTTTTATATTTGTTTCCCCCTTCTGAGTTATCTAACTTCAATTTGCAGCTACTGGTACTTACTATATCCTTTAATGATTGTAACATTTAAAAAGCCACAAAGTCTCTGAAGCTGACTTCCACTGACCACATCCAAAGTATTGGCCTGCTAGAATTAGAAAGCCTACAGAAATGAAAAATTCTTCAGCCCTCATATAACTGGCTATTTTTCTTCTTTTCTCTTATTTTAATCTTAACAGTTTCATGTACAAGATAAACTTGTCGTATTTGCTCTCAAGTCGTCTATTTGTACATCCAAGGGTCAACAAACTAGGCCTTGTCACAGCAATGTGGGGGGAGCAAAGCTACTAACCCAGTATGTCAGTCATCATTATTGTTTTGTTTACAAATACAGTGATCTCCATGAAAGACCTCTGCAGTTATCATCAACATTCCTTCTCTTTGAAAAACAGCTAACATGCTACAAACAGGTACTGTTGATATTTAAGTTTCAATGTGTCACAACCATCAAGAAAACCAGATGATTTAATTCAAGACCCGTATTGTCGTCACTTACGCACACTTGACTTTTTAAAATTCTTTATCAGCTGAAATCACTATCAGCTATTCCATTATCTTACCCACCGAGCAACCTGTGGTTGCCCAGTTTACCCTTTTATTGAAACAACAATTATATTTTTCCAGTCAGAATTACTTCAAGTATTTGAGTGTAGCCCAAAACTTCACTTCCATTTCTAGAGGCACTCTCATTTCTTCTGAAATACTAAGTGGTCCACTGCATTAAAAAAATGCTTCAGTGCCTAGAAGGTTTCAAATTAGGACTACAATAAATGAGATACTACTGATGCAAAGAAAAGAATTTCTATAAACAAGTGAATACTGTCAGACCTAATAGGAATAAAAAACAGTTACTAGGCAATGCAATGCAATGAGAAATCACACTTCTTTATTTTTAGAACTTCATTATGCTTAAGGGGCAGATTACTTCGTGTTGCAATTCATCCACTATCTAATTCCACAGTAACTTGACTAAATGCCCTCACATGGCCAATATCTGATGAAAGGCTAGTAGACTGTTCTTTAATATCTGCGGTTATTTCCTTACATACTCCCCTTCCTTTGATTTGAGTATTCCCTCACTTTTTAAGTGACGCCCTAACGAAGCCCTTGTACACAATCTTTAAGTGACATACGTAGTTTTTAAAGCATCTATCTTTGCTGTCAATCAAAAGAAGCAGGAGCACAATGTATGACTTCTATATTAAAAATCAAACTAGACACACATCTCCAGTTCACACAGTAATCAGAGAAATGTTAAATCAATGTACAATGTATTACCATTGTGTTAAAAAAGGTTCAGATGTAGCAACACAGTACTAATATAGAGCTACTAGAATAATCTCTGCTGAAGTGTAACCATCAGCAAGAAATAATTTCTCCAAACCTTGCCCTCTGTCCAAAAACATTCCAAACCCTCAGACACATATACATCTTTATTAATCAATCTGCTGTGTATGCGCCTTCAATATATTATTTTTTATGCCTACTCAAATTCATTACTTGATTTGCCAAAAGGCATATAAAAATCAGAAACAGCACTCATTCCAAATACAAGCTAACTTTTAAGTTCATGGACCATTTGCTATTACCTGTTTAATATGAGATATGGTGGCATCTCGAGGGACATCCAGGTTGATGTAGATTCCAGTGGGCAACAGGAAGTCCACAGCTATTGAGCCATCAGCACCAATCTGTGAATCCACTGCCCAGATGTCAAGGCTGTCTGTCACGGCAGGAGGCATTATGGAATCTCAATAATATCATAACCACATGGCCTTAGGGGGGAAAAAAATTATTAAGATTCAGTATACTTAACCTTCTATAATTAGACACACATTTTAAAGCCTTTGGAAAGTTTACATAAGCCTGCTTGTACAGCTCGGTTTCCAAGTCTGAGGTCTCAAATGCCAGTATTGCAAACACATAAGCATAATTTTATCCTCATTAATTCTATTTAGTATAATAAAAGCACTTGCCTGGTAAAGCACTATTGTTGAGATATTTATATCATAAAGTAATAAGAGAAAAAACTTAACTAATTAGAGATTAGAAATCCATTTTAGATTCTCTCTAAAACATAAAATACAATCAAAGCAAACTTCTTGGATGAAGCATGGCAATATTTAATATGAAAACACACGATCGATTTCATAATTTTGTTTTTGCAAATTTCCTGTTAGCTGTCTACAAATGCAGCCCGAGTAACACACTCGACAGTCCATATTAATAGCAGGAAAATCATCTTCAATGATATTAGAAAGTGACATTTTCCTCTAAAGACATTTATCTCAACTTACTCTCACCCTTAAAGATCATCTCCTATGAATTCAACCCACTGTGTAAACTACATCCACTGCAGGGTGGGGGGAAACCCTTTGTGTAATCTACAAGACGTTTTATTTACTCTTAATGCTACCACTAGCTTTTCTGACCTTCCAATTCTTATCTTTTGGTTACCATTCACTAAAGAGGTGTTTTCCTTTCAGTCACTATTCACTGAAATATTTACCTTCCTCTTCATCCAGACAATGCTCTTCAACAGACAAAGGGATGGGAAGTGTTGTAAAACACTACTGTAAAGCACTTTTATAATAAAGACAAGTTACCCCTACACCCTTCTAATTCTTGCTGGACATCACGAGATGTGGAACATCACCATTTGTAAAAAACAAGCCAGAATGTGCAACTCTACTACTATTACAGCTTTCCACTACTTTTATCGCTCCTTCCCTTCTCTTCCGGATCCTTTCCCTGCTCTGAAACCAGGCCTACTCTGCTTAACTGAAGCAGCACCAGCTGCTACAGCACCAGCAGAAAAAGCAGGATGTACCCAACACACTGGGCTGCTGTTCTTTATACATCACAGAGCAAATTCAAACAAGATCATCGGCACAACAGCCTTCTGAAATCCAGTCACCACTGCTGACTACATTGCTAAAAAGTCTATTTGACAGAGAAAATTGTCCCCTTTGGTAAGACACTAGGCAAAATCCATTATCAAAAGACAATCCTTTCTACAGGTGCTAAACCTACAAAGATATACCTAGATACAGGACAAGATTGCTTACATTGGTCATGCCATAGAATTATAGATAATTATCATGCTGTGCAAACTTCCCAAATGTATATGCATTTATGAATACAGCTTTTCAATCCCAAAGCACTTTATTACTATTCCACCCCCACCCCCCCCAAAAAAACAAGCAACTAGGAAATCTTTTTATAATGCACCATAATTGAACCCACCACAAAATTCCAGGAGACCAACTACATCATAACAAAGGTGTTTTGTTCCCTTCCCTCTCCAGCTTATATCTTTTCTTCATAAAACAACACAGTTTGAGAAAATCACACTACCAGCTACTAAATCCAAACTTTATGATATGCAGGAGTTAACACTTGATTTATAGCAAGTTAAATTTCTTTGACATTATTTCAGAAATTTAATGCTTAAAATTGGTAGGCTTTTAAACCAAACAATTCATTGTCATATACATCATCGTCCTTAACTGACAACAGAAGTACAAAAGTCGTACTTCAGAAAGTCTCTTTGTAATCCCTTGCTTTATACAAACAGCTTGAAATAAAATAAATAAACAAGCGAACAAGCATAGGGGAAAGCTGAATGTGCCTACAACAGATAATAGAACATGCTGACAGCACAAAAATCAACTACTACAGAAGTGTAACTCTGTATTGACAAGCAAGCTATTAACATTCTGTACGTATTACAAAGGGCTGTTCAGTGCTAACTTTTACTGATCATCACTGTTAAACAAGTAATACCATTTAAATCATCACTTTAAAATATTCACAGTCCATCTCTGCCTCATTCCTTAGCACTGGTTTCTATCCCTCCAGCTACCGTAAATATATAAAATCGCTCATCTAACATTTGGAAAAATTCAGGAGATGAAAATCTCCAGTAGGGAAAGGGCTAGAAAGAACTGAAATCTCCTGAGGCTTACCAGTCACCAGTGGAATAGCAAGTCGAAAACCTGTCCAGCTAAGTACTCAAACCAGCTATTTGGTACCGCAGCTGAGCTACTATCAGCTTGCCAGCTCAAAGCTGCCTTAGACACGAGGCCACGCTTAGGTCTCACCTCTAACTGCCATGTAAATACATTAAGTAATGAGACCCAAATAATTTCCATTCAGCCTTAGCAAAGTTGTGAGCTCCCACGCAAGCATGGCTGCTGCCAACACATCTTATTACCACACTAAGTATGTGGATCACTTAGTATTTTGTTTGTACTAGATAAAAACATAGTAGAATTTTCATTAACAGCAAAGAAAAAACCCTCTGCCTTTCAGAAAATACATAAGGAAAAACATTTTTCCTTATTAGAAGCAACAGTTAGGGAGCTCTTATCACCATTATCGAATAATAGTTTATCATCATAAGGTCCTCATTCCCCAAATAAATCTACACTGCGTCAGACAATCAAAACAAAAAAAATTGGGGGATGGGGATGTAGTCCTGGTGACAATAAACAAATCAGATATGAAAATATTTTATCTTAACTACCAGATCTTTACAAATCCATCCCTTCATTCGTCAAGGGTGTGGAAAGTTCGACACGGTGCATTATCTCTTAAAGTGTCTAAAGGAAAGAAGCAAAATTTAACCCCATCACCCAACACAGACTACACTATTAGAGTAACACCGCATCTACCCAAAAAATCTTGAGAAAACACGTAGTTCCTCACTACCAATCAGTACAGCTTTAACAAGATACTACTTAAATGGGATAGTACTTCTTTTCTCCTATCCAGCTACTTTTACCCATAAAATCTTGGCTGCCACTTTGTTGTAACTGAAATAGCAGACACAGAAAAATAATTTGAATTATGTAAAAATAAAGACTTTGCATACTTGGATGCATACACAGTCCATTTCTTCTTCTTCAGAAGGTAACTTCTGTGGTTATCACGGTAAAATGAAGTGGTAGCGCCATTATAAAGCATCACTTTAACAGGTACAGCAGCAAGGAAAACATTAATCTTTGTAGTTATTTCATTCATAATTTCCATTTTAATTCAGCATAAGATCTTTTATATTTTCACCCTCTTTTGGATGTTTTTTCCACAACATCTGCAATTGTTGAAACCACTTTAGTGCACCAACAATAGTATAAAATGTTCAAAGAAGCAAGACACAAAAATACTGCTACATACCCTATAACTTAGACACCACATAGAGTTACAAAGTTCTTCTGAATTACTTGTTTATAATTACGGACTTCCAACACAAACATCAGAATCTTCTGATATTCCATTTAAATTTTCAATTAAAAAGAGAAGAGCAATCATCACACCAATCCGAGCACGCTATGAAGCTATTCTTGCTTTCAGGCACTTAATTTCCTTCCTCAAGGAAACAGGTTAGTGTCTTTTACAGTTAGCACCCAGTTTCTACCAGTAGCTGACATCAGAGTGGTCAAGAGAGAACAAGTATTTCTACTGAGAATAACACTGATTGCCAACGTAAGACGGCTGTGAGAATGAGTCATGGGCCAAACTGTAAAATGTGTGGTGGCAGTAGTGACTAACTAACAGTATCACATCTAGTAACTGAAACAAAGGCAGAAAGCCATCTGGATTGGAGCAATAACACAAGAGACATTTTAAACAACTTCCAGCTAAAGGGAAAAACGAATAATCAAAATAATAATAAAAAGCTATTTCAGGCTGTTAACCTCATAGCTATTCTTGCCTACCGTCACGGTAAAAACAACTTATACAAAAGAAGGAAGTAATTAAAACTGTACTTAATCTTGGCTACTCGAGTATGCAATCAACGATTATTTTAATTTAATAGTAGCAAAGCCCAATATGAAATGCTTTTTTAAGTCACAGGCATGTAGTATTGATAGACAGCAAACAAACCTTCCCATGTGAAGTATATGTTTGCTCTAAACTTTGACTTACACGTTGCGGACTTGTGTATATGTGTGCGTATACACACACACACACACACACACACATTCTCTCTCTCTCAATCTCAAAACCACTCAATTTGTATTTTAACAGACCAGCAGTTCTGAAAGAGCTGCTTAGAGTAATGGAAGGAAATGGAACACAGATTAGTAGAACATCTGCAGAATGAGAAGAAGAGAAAGAAAATTTAACACTCATCTTTGTATTTATTTATTTCATGTACAGAAACAAGAAGCCCTACAACAACGTTTCTCAAAGCAAGACAACTGCCTGCAATTCTCCTATCTATAAATCTGTACATCTGGTATGTGCACGAAGCATTAAGGCTGAAGTAGAACAACAATCACTACAAGCCATCAACATCTACCTTGTGAGCCTCCACACTGTGCCATAATATGGTTTTCATCATACACTTCAAGTGAAGCTGAGCAATAAAATGCCATGCTCACTGACAGCTAGAGGGGAAAGCCTACAGCTTCCCTTCTGCTCCCCCTACCCTGGGCTGCCCAGTCCTACTCCCCTGCCTTGCACCCACTTCAGCACATGTGAAGTCTCCTCATGAATTTTTTTAGCTTACCATCTAGGTGGAAGCAATGAGTAATTTTCTTTCACATTATCTAGTTGAATACAGTCATAGGAAGGATCTAAGGGCTGCCAGAGCCTCTAAAAGGGTAGGAATGGACACAGGATCTTCTCTTTTCATCAGCAGCAAGCCTCCAGATTGTGTCATAATGCTTCAGGTAACTACAGCCTCAAGATGCAGTTTTACAACTGGCTAAAACTGATAGATCATACTGCCCTTCCTGTCAGCAAGATCAGAGCACTGATCCAACTG